GTTACGCGAGACGTGGTCTGGCGTACATCTACCTAGTATCTCAGCCGATACATAAGTGACCATAATGTTTGCAAAACAATCGACGGGGCGTGCTGATGCCCGCGTTCCATCCGCCTTCCGGTGCGTGCTCGACACCAGACACCGCAAGGTCTGCTGTTCTCAAGCATGTTGCCGACACCCCCGCCGAGGCCCTCCCCGTCGAGCTCCAGTCTGTCTCGGTGAGGCTAAGTATGAACGTCTCTTCGTCCGTGCGGTGTGCGGTGCTCGCCGAGAGCTGTGGGTATAAACTCAGTGTGATTTGGTTGTTTCGTGTTATTCGTGCTTCCTTTTCGCCATGGGTCGGCGCAAGAGCTCCTACAAGCAGAAAAGCATGTCAAAAAGACTGAACAAGACGAGGTAAATAGTGCTGCTGTGCTTCCAATATAAAAGTATCCTGTGCGAGTGTTGTTTGATTCCACGCGGCTCTCCATAGGGCACACGTGCCGGACGTGCCGCTGGTAGGGCCGGCCGCGGTGGAGCCGCCCCCGGTGGAGCCGCCGTCCCCGCCGCCGGCCGCCCCCGAGCCCTGCGAAAGCGAGACCCGCGCTGTTCCAGCAGCGCACCGCCCGCCGTCGCCGACGCCACCCGGCACCTCCCGGTGCCACTATGACGCGGAGGAAGGTGCGGGTGCCGCTCCTCGCGCTCTCCCCACCTCCACCCCGAGGGCCCCGCGTGCTCCACGTGCGGTGTACGAGTTCGACGGGGAGCCTTCACCCATCCAGCCGCGTCGACCCCCGGGACCCCAAAGGCGGAATAAGGACGCGCCCGCCCCCGCCGAGCTGTCTGGCCGCAGAATTGTCAAGATACGCGACTTTATGCGTCAAATCCAGTCTGACCGGCACCCAGGTGGATTTGGATGCTCAATCATGGACAGTTCATTTGTGAAAGAGCTTCGACAGGGCCTTAGGTCGTCCTTGGTGTACAAGTGTCGTATGTGCAACAAGGAGACGACTTTGGACACGGACCATTCGGACGACAAGAGCCTCAGCATCAACACTGCTGTGGTGGCTGGGGCTGTGAACGGCGGGGGCGGCTTCGCAAACCTCGACGAGATAGCGGCGGCTGTAGACATGCCGTGCATGTCTGCCCCTACGTTAGGCCATCTCACCGGAAAAAAATTTTCGAGGTACGCACGTCTAGTGATAGATTAGACCTAGCAGAGACCCTGTG